GGGTGCTGGTGGCTCACACCTGTAATCCTAGCTACTCAGGAGGCTAAGATCTAAGGATTCTGGTTCAAAGCCAGCCTGGGCAGAACAGTCTCACAGGGACTCCAACTAACCACTCAAAAACTGTACGGGGTGCTGTGTTCAAGCTGTAGAGTGCTAATCTTGAGCACAAAGAGGCTCAGGGATAGTGCCAAGGCCAAGTTCAAGGCCCACAACTGACAAAAAAAAAAGTGTGCTGTGGTGAAACAGATCAATGGAGCCCAGTGGTCTCTCTCTCACATACACACACACACACACACACACACACACACACACACACTCACCTTGATAAACAGGAAAAAAAATCCGATGGCTCACACCTGTAATCCTAGTTACTTGAGAGGCTGAGGATCACGGTTCAAAGCCAATTGGGGCAGGGAAGTCCATGAGACTCTTATCTCCGATAAACCACTAGAAAACCGGAAGTGGTGCTGTGGCTCAAGAAGTAGAGCCCAGGGACAGTGTCCAGGCCCAGAGTTCAAGCTCCATGACAAAAAAATAAATAAATCCTAAACTTGCCAAGAGATTTATAGCTTTCCTTATGAACTATTTACTCATTACCTAGGCTCCTTTTAATCATAAAGACAATATTGTATGTCAGCTCACATTTTCATAAGTCTATTATTATTTGTAATCCATTTAGTAAAAAAAAATTGAAAGCTAGTTGACAATGGGAAAAAAGGGAGTAAGGCATATACTATATATGCTATGGCATGGATGATTCTTCAAATCCTAGGCAAAATGAGAACTGTCACAAAGACAACGCCTGTGATTCAATGCTTGGAACTGCCACATGTAGAGACAGAAAGTATTCTAGTGGCCATTTAGTGCTGGGAAATAAGGTATGATTATCTGGGGAAATAGAGAATGAGGGATTTTTAGGCCACTGTAGCTCATCTAAGCATGTAGGCATGACTTACAGGACATGAGGTTAACTTGTTCCAGTTCCAAAGACCTCAGACCAATAATGATTTGGGTCACGTTTGCTACTCTTATGAATAAATTATATCTACAATTATATTGTATAACTCAGTATGATATATTCGACCCATTTAAGGAATTCCCCCAGTACATGATCTAGATTCTCCTCAACTTTTATACATACAGTAGTGTAACTTTACAAGGGATTAAACATTCAATTTTACTGTTAATCTGCTTATATATTTACCATCTCTACCATGCACAACTTGCATCTGGAGTCTGCTGTGAGACTTTTCTGCCCAGGCTGGCTTTGAACCAGAAGATTGCACTGCCTTTACCCCACCTCCATACATGATTTACCACTGCAAACACATACATCCTCTTACTTTTCTCTGTTGGTAGACATCTGCTGTTCAGGTAATAAATTTTCAACAGGCATTAATTTTCCACTTAGCACACTTCAAATGGAAATGATTATCCATCTTTTCTTCAGTAACAAATATTTATTGATCATCTACTATGTTAGGCTCTAAAATGCAAGTGAAATGTTATCTGCTATCACACCTGCCCTCATGGAGCTTACAGTCTAGAAGACAAGATACAGTAAATTAATACACAAAATCATTGGTGTGGTGAAAAGACCACACAAGATATAAAGTGGGTGATATGAAAGAAGACGTAGAAATTAGGAAACATCTGTGGGTATAGTTTGGTGATACAGCATATGTCAATAGACCCTGGGGTTTAATCCCCAGCAACAAAAATGACAAAAAATAAAAATAAAACAGGATATGGAAGGACTTTCAAGAGCAGTTAAAAGCTGGATTAAAAGCCAACTTCTCACTTGGACTGTCACTTCCCCTCCCAGAATGTTTCCACATTTGTAAAATGGAGATAGGCACATTAAACTTGACAACACACATTACTGTTAATGGTCAAGAAACTCTTCAATGCCTTTCCACTGTTTGACAAGACCTCTCCTTGAGAGGCATTCAGACAAAGGCATCACAAGAAGGTGAAAGAACAGCACTAGCACTTCTTGAAATACACAGCACTCACTGAGAGCGGCAAGGCATAGCAAGATCTCAGGTTACAGCCACGTTTGTTACTGCAAAGCAGTGAAGAGGTGTAACTAGGCATGGCTCAGGAAGGCATGAACAGGCCACTGGGAGTGACTACAGTACATATCATGAAGGCAGGTAAAGGTTAAAGAGTGATAAAGGAGGCTTGCACATCTTAAATTAATGCAGGGAATCCAGGGAGAATTCTCAGTCATTTCCCTAACCTAAATGACTGACCACTCTGTCTCCATTCTCTGTAGCGTATTATCAATATGATGATCAATAGCAGCTTATCATCTCAGGCTAACAAACAGTCCCTGCCCTTACTGCTGTCTCTGTTGAATCACATAGTTTTGAGCCATCTTTTAAAAGAGCTCATTTCCACTCCTTCCTGATTACTGGTCATGATCTGAAAGTGTCACAATCATCTGCATTTCCAAACCAAGACTGGTATCACTTCAGTCATTTTTGTTAAGTCAGAGGTCTTGCAATAGGTGTGGGACAGACCTCCCACACCCACTGTTTCATCATGTCCCACATAGGATACAACTTGCCTTTAAAAGACTGCTCATTTTTAAAAACTGGATTAAAGACCTTCTGAAGCCAGAAACAAGATCTCTTAACTACTACTTTATCCCACATACACATAAAAAAAAAAAAAACACTAAACATTCCTTGAATGACTAGTCTGATGATGGTCCCATCGAGGCACTCTTATTTTAAAACACTCTATAAACTTTGACAACACAAAATAAAGGAAGCTTTACGATCCATTCACAAATAAAAAGCAGTACAAAAAATACTATGCCACGCCAATCAAAAAAACGCTACACCTTTAAAATGTGAATATAGCATGTTTTCTTTCCCCATATCAGCCCTTAGAACATCAAGAATAAGATCTAACTAGCAAAATACAAAGTGAAAGAGGCAGAGCATGGCCCTGTTTTGTTAGCCTTATCACTTGTCCAGTTTGAGTTGGACTGCTTTTGTCTCAGTAGGTCCTAATGGCTTTAAGGAACTCAAAAAGGCCAAATGGAGCCTACAAGAAGAAAGAGAGAGCCGGCTACTAGGGGCTGGCCCCAGGCATAAATAGCTTAAAACAGACCACAACACAAAATGTAGGCTGACAAGAATACAGATGCTGCTTCATAAGGCAAACCAAATGTCTTATAAATGACCTAGATGTTTTAGTGTGTAAAGGAGCCGACATGTAGCTTATATGTACATACTAGGCACATTTTGAGACTTGAGCATCAGTGCATTTTGGTGTTCAAGTAGAGTGTTGTCCTGGAACCAATCCCCCACTGAAAATAAGAGAAAGTATATATTTAAAACTGAAAAAAACCTCAGGAAAAAAAAACAAAAACCTCAGAAAATGTCTGCCAATTAGATAATTTAACCCACTTTACGATCAGAAGAGCTGAAGATCCTAGTGCAAATTCCTGTATAGAGAAGTTATGTTCTTAGAAAATGTATTGCAACGTGTTTTCTAACATCCTTCTCCCCCAAAAGTGTGCGTGGGAAAAACAAGTTTATGTTAAAATAGCATCAACAATTAAAAAGCGGAGGACGCCTTAAATTCTTTTCCACAAGTTTTTATCATATATATGTACAAAAAGATAGTGAATCCAACTGCCCAACTCAATACCTCCAAGTTTCCACACCATACGGACCCAGGGCCACTAAATCCAAGGTCAGACACAAGTTTAAATGGCCTTAGCTTTACATTTACTAAAATGAAGAGTAAATAATCATTATAATAGACACGGAGAAAAACTTACAGAAAAAATGTCTAGTAAAATAAGTACTTAAAAGGCAAACCTGAGAATTAAAAGAATGTTTTGTGAAACCTTACTTAAAAGTACAAACATTATTAATAAATATTTTATTCCAAGAAAGTAGGCTACTAAATGTTGAGTGTCCAAGACGGACTGGCCTGAAGTTTTATCGGTCTCTGTTGTGTTCCACTTATCCTAAAATCTCCTTGCTCCTTTCTTTTCATTCTGTAAGACTATTCTAAGATAAACTTTTTGATACTTGAATTCACCTCAACTGTTCCATTTGGCCTAGGGCAGATGTTGAACATTTATAACCCTAGGCTGAAAGGGAAATAAAGCTCTGAAGTTGCTCACCTAGAGGCCAGAAAACTAGTATAGACTATAAGCTATAGACAGCACCTATTATACTGCTGGAAGTTATCAAATCAAGGAAAAAACCGTCTATATTTCTTAGTGAAGATAGATCCAGGTTAAATGATCGTAATTAACTGCAGTCCTTTCCTTTAAATAAGATACTCTAGATTAAAGCTGGTTGGATTCCAGGTAACAATCCAGTCCTCTTTGCCATTACACTTGGTTAAGCAGACATCCAGGTGACAAATACACTACTAAAAGGTCAGATCCTTAAAAGTAAGTAGCTATATTAAAGAGTTGCGCTGTCAAAGTTATAAAAAAAAAAAAAGTATCCTCACAGATAACTAGAAAAGCTCTAACTTTTTAAGTTTAAATTCTTGTGTATTTTTAAGTCTTAAGTCATCTGAGATTTTTAAAAATTTTCAAGCATAAAGCACCAAAAGTACACATTGAAACTGTTCATATAAAATAGTAATAAAGAATGCTGGGCATGGTAGTGTACATCTTTAATCCCAACACTCAGGAGGCAAAAGGAGGAGGACTTTGAGCTTGAGGTCAACCTGGGCTACTTAGCAAATTCAAAGCTACATAGCAAGACCTGCCTCAAAAAAAATAAGGGCTGGGGATATAACTGTTAGAGCACTTGCTTAGCCTGAACAAAGCCCTAAGGTTCCCTACCACTGAAAAATAAAATAAATAAAATAAATAGCGACAATGAAACACATACCAAAAGTAACAAGTACTATTATCAACTGCAATAACTAAGAATAAACTAATTTCTAACAATATATTAATTTACTTTATAAACACTGTTTGATTAAACAGGGAAAAAGGGAGACTCTGAGACTAATGGATAACAAAATGATAACTATACATTATTCTTTTATTAACAAATTATGCCACACAAATCAGATTACTTTATCTAATTACAGAATTAACATAAAGTCCATCTGTACTTACAGCAGCAACATAAAATCCTACTGTAAAGAAATTTGGTATTTTCACAAATACTGTCACCTGGGTTGGAACCTACTAAGATGGCAAAGCTGGTGACTGTGGTACAAGTACTGCTGTAAAAGTTTGGTCTGGCTTTGCTGTTCCACACTTAATGATACATAGACCTCCTAAAGATACAGCCTCGAATACGGGATGATGTGGAAAACCACATATTACATCAGACACAAGAACAGCACACAAAGGCCATGAAAATTTGAGAAGGTAAAAAAGCAATCCTAGGAGGGATGAGTCACATCCACCTTGACATAGTAAGTCCCTCACCTGACACTTCTATTTGAGAAATCAGCCACTATAAACAGTTTTGCCTTAAAATGGATAAACCTTGGAGATAGAAAAAAAAATTAAGTACTAAATCCTCAAGAACTCAAAATGACTTAGGAAGTCAAATGGAGCAAACTATAAAAGCTGGATGAAAATGTTTCTCTATAAGCCAGACCCAGTTATTTGAGGGATTAAAAATCAAACCCTATAGAAAACTGGTCTTCAAAGTACAGCTGGCACAGTCACAACAGCAGTGTTTCAGGGAGTCATAAAATAAGACTTTCTCACTTAAATCCAAACACTTCGGTCTTTTGTGATTTGGGGAAAAAGAATGATCCAGATGCTGCTCCTAATCCCTTCCCATTTTTTTTTCCTTAAATTTGAAAATCACTGCTGGACAGAAACTGTACTGACAAGATATATGATCACAAACAAAATATAATTTGTCAGTGCCACCAAAATTTGAAAGGTTTCAGCAAAGATTATGTATTTAGTATTCTCTTCTATAAAATAAATGAGCAAATTAAGCTTATGGGAAGAAACTGATTTTTGTTATCTTCATCTCCCATATAATCCCTTCTGCTGCCTCCAAATCATCAGTTTTTCTGGACACTGAATGAATATTCTAACAAACATTCTAGCCATTTTACCTCAAAAATATCTCAAAGGCTGCACAGAATTTGTTTTTCTTAAGAAGGCAAGCCTCATATTTATAGAAAACTCTAGAATGAAAATGTACAGTTACCAAAAATAACACATTATGTCAGAACAGAATCTGCATAGTGTTCTTAAACATAATCACTAATAAAGAGCAGCTAAGTCCCAGCACTTCACTCTGCATACATTAGCGAACAGTGTCAAAGTGTAAATGACAACCAGAAAAACGCACAACATAGTTTTCTTTGATGTGATCATGAAGCGTTGACCTTCGAGAAGAAAAGTGGTCCCAAGCTCCGGCCACTTATCAAAACTTCACTGCTTCAACAAAATAGAGCAAATCTCTGTGGAAAGGACTCATTCAGCAAACATGATTTCTTTCCCCAAATTTTTTTCCTTCACATTGGATCAAACAGAAGTTGTTGTCATTCTAGAATCAGTGATTACATCTTTAATTAAAAAGTTTAAATCTTATGTACATAATTTTATTGCTGTTTATTGTAACAAAAAAGTTTAAGTTGATTTGTAGAATCCATCCAGTAATATATGAAACAAATCCACTGCTCAAGACACCATTATGGCTGAATGCAGCTGATACTCAGCTTATGAGTAAGAAAAGTCCTTTCAAGTCATTTGGTTCTTGCTGGAGTCATCTGTGTTCATCTCTCAGAAAGTGAAAGAATCCATTTGATGTTTCAATAAATATCAAATTGCCAAAACAAATAAACAAAAAGTTTCCATGGACCAAAGATCCAAGAAAGCAGTTTTGATGAATGATTCCCAGAATCAAATAAGTCCTCCTTTAGTCCAATGAGATGATGTCAGGAATATTACTTCCACTGCTGGTTATGACCCCTGTCTCACTCCTGCTGCTGGATGAACTAACATGAGTACTGCTTTCATGGGGGCTGGTGGTGGTGACAGACGTACTGCTTGCTGTTAAGGGTGAGGTGAGACTATCCAAAAACATAGGAGGACAGTACTGCTTGAAACAAACAATGATGTGGATAAGGAAGAGGCTACTTGGTTTTAAGTAAAGACTAGAAGATATGTACAAGTGAGAGCCACAAGTGAAATCCCCCTGGGACTTAAAAAATTTTTTACCTCTGGGTAAAAGATGGCATAAATTTAACTACTTTATATTCTTTAATGAATGCAGTATACTTTTTATTCAGTTAAAATGTATGCATAATTTGTTTGTTGACCATATCCAGAGGTAGAGGTACCTGTGATGTCAACAATAACTGAACATTAAACCTTAGCCCCAAATTTGAGACTGAGACTTAAGCACAAAGTAATTTGTTCAATTAAATGTATTTAGATAAGATTTAAACAAAATTATGAAAGGCTAACAAGGATTTTTCATATTATGAAAATTGCTAAGGCAAAAATCCAACAATTTCTCAAATTATTATCAAATACACCCTTTATGAATTAAAAATGACCAGCTGAATAATGGCATTAGACTCCTATGGACATACATACATAAATGCATACTAATAATACTTGTTAATTTAGACTGTCAACATTGATTCTACACTACATATGCTCCAGAATCCTACCATACCATCACAAAACTCTGGAATATATCTTAGAGATCTACATAATCTTCCTTGCAATGTTTGCTTTACATCTTTCTTCAAAGTGTTCATATTTCATGTCCTCTTACCATCCTGGTGGTTGACAAAGAACTGGGATATAATGTTCTAACACTGACCATGAGGAATGGTTTAAACATTATTTTTTATGTTACAACAGAATATTTTATATGAGAAACAATGCCACAACATTTTTAACGCAAGTGCTATCTAATATACTGCAGAATGTGATTAAAACTGAAGTTGCCTCAACTGTATTATCTCCCTAAAATGGTAATAATGGCTTCAGATTTAGCTGTCAGAGGAAGAACAGATACAGTTTAGGCTGCATTTCAATACAGTCACTTAATGTTTTGGATGCATATCAGTTGTTTCTTTGGTAAAAATTACTGCCATAGGGCTGGGAAGGTAGCTCAGTGGTAGAGTGCTTGCCTTGCATGCATGAGGCCCTGGGTTTGATTCCTCAGCACCACATAAGCAGAAAAAAAAAAATGGAAGTGGTGCTGTGGCTCAAGTGGTAGAGCACTAGCCTTGAGCTGAAGAACTGAGGAACAATGCCCAGGCCCAGAGTTCAGGCCCCACAACCAGAAAAAAAAAATACTGCCACACACAGAAGAGGAAGATGCCTTAGGTCTTAAAGAGTTTTTAAGTTCTAAAAAGTTAAACTATCAAATAAAATTTTTTTCTTAAATCTCTGTAGTTGTATGATCTATGTATCTGTGTATATGTATGTGTATATATGTGTATGTGTATCTGTCTATCTGTCTATAATCAATCATCCATTTGGTAGTATAACCTGGGGTATTAACTCAGGGCTTTGAGTTTGCTAGGCAGGTGCTCAACCACCTCAACCACTCTTCCAGAATGATTTTGCTCTGGTTATTTTGATATAGGTTTGCTCTTGTTATTTTGTCACTTTTTGCCTGGGTTGGGTCACAATCCTCCTATTTACGCTCCTTGTTATAATTAAGACACTAGGTGCGTTATCACCACATCCAATGTTGTCTGTTGAGACAGGGTCTCATGGATTTTTTTGCCCAGGGTGATGTGGAACTGTGATTCTGCAGATGTCAGCTTCCCAAGTAGCTAAGATGACAGATGTGAGCCACCATATTCAGCCTGAGTCAATTTAACTATAAGTGAGGGGAAAATCTAGAAAAAGTCCAGAAACTTTATTCATGTTATTTTCAGTCTGTCTTTGACTAGAAAAAGATACTCGTTTATAAGTGCTAAATGCTAAAGTCTAGTTCCCAAAGGATGTGTAACTCAATACTCTTGTCTTTCAGCGAATTTACTTTTAACCCTACATCCCTACGTACACTTCTGCACAAACACAATAGGTATTATGGGGCACTATGGGGGTGAAAATGGAAAGTAAAGATTCTTTGGTAAATAGAAGGCACAAACTTAGCAACTTATGAGGTAAAAGTCACTCTTCTAGTATTGTCCACATATGCCCACATTTTTTTAAAACCAGGGTTTTATAAAACCAGTACCTGTTCAAATCGTACCATATTCCTTGAGCCAAACTTCCAGCCTGGCTTTTTTCCTGGTTATTTTGGAAAGGGAGTCTCAGTCTTTTCTTCCAGGGATAGCTTTTTAACCTCCTGAATAGCTAGGATTATAGGCACAGACCAGCAGTAAAAACTGGTCATCGTTTTATAAGCCTGAAGAATCTATATCCTAGAGAAGCAAATAACTATGGTATAAAATGTGTTTATAAATGCTAAAATTTCCTCAGTCTACATACTACCTTGGGACAAAATTACCATGTAGTTTGTGCAATCAAATACAAAACACAAAGAGGAGGCTCAAACTAGACATGCAATTAGCTGATGCTGAGCAGTCCATGGAGTAAGCAATATGTGGGTTCTTCCTTCCTAAGTGCTCTTTTGATATTTTCTTGTCCCTTTCTATTTTCTTCTTTCACTATACATCTGCTATAAGTCTGACAGTAAGATTCATGCTTACTACACAATCAGCCTAGGACTGAGATATGCAAGCATTTCTTATCTTTGACAGAAAAAGTAGAGATCCCAAAACTTTGAATTGAGAGCGTCCCCTGTATAAATCTAACTTTCTTTTAAACAATGGAGAAAATAAGTTAGTGAGTCAAGTCTGTTTAAAGTTTTAATGGCTAATTTTCTAAGTTTTATGTGTAAAATGAAATTTTACTCATAAATTTTTAATTCTGGTCCTCCAGAACTGGTTCCATACATTCTAATCTCTTAGATGTTTATAATATCAGCTGACTATGCTCAGTAAAATTAGGTATTAAAGACAAAGAATTATCAACTGAGAACTTGTAACTTTATTACTCCAAAAATTATGAGGTATCTATCTAGTACTTGTTTCCTATCAATATACATTATTGAAAGTCAACTGTCCTGATTTTATGCAACTGGTCATTTCTAGCTAGTATGATATAACCAACAATAGATACAAATTAGTTGCTTAAATTCAGGATACATACCTGGGGATCAACTGGAATAAGGGAAAGAAAATCCAAACCTAAAACAAAAATTCTTTGTTAATAGTTGCCTCATATTTTGGAGACTAGATTATTTTCTCAAATCATTCTCTACCATAAATCACAAAATACTTGAAGGTAAATGCTCATCACTCTGCCAAAGAGAAGTTCAATAACCATGTGTCTTGAAATCCCAAAGACGAACATATTCCCTGACCAAACAACTGGAAAAACCACCTCCCAGTAACTCAAAATCAGTGGTTCAAAAAGGAAAGGACTACATTCAAGGCAAATATTTTTCATTTGTCATTTAACACAATTGAGAAGCAATGAAAATCATAATGATCTTCAGACCATTAAAAAAAACATACTTAGGCTCAAGATATTTCACATTTATTTTTCAGAAATACACACCACACTGAGGTTCATCTAAAAATGTCACTGTTAAAACAGGTATCTATTTCTTTACTAGCTCTCTTCCTCATTCCCACATCAAGAGAAGTACAAAGTGCAATACTCTGCACCAAGCAAGTACTTGGTAACTTTCTGCTCACTAAACAAGCTAAGGGGCAAAGGGATTAACAATACAATTCTCTAAACCAGAAGAACTAGAATTTTACAATTATGTTTTTGGAATATGGATGTGGAAAAGGCCACTTGCCCACATCATTTTGAGGTATTAAAATAATAGTAAAAATTTTCCAGATATGGGAAGTCTGAAAATAAACTTCTAAGTCAGTCCCATTACACCTTGTATGTCCAAATTCTTTTAAAGTGTATTTTTTAAAAAAGATATCAGATACTAGGTATAGGTCATTAAGACAGGACAGTATCTATTTAGTATCAATATCATGACATTTTATTTTCTGGTATTCAATGTCATCCCAAATGCAACAACAAAGTATGGTCCTATACTGTTTTCAAAATAGTATGGAAGGTATTCGAAAAATTTAGTAACCATTATAAATAATTTTAACTCAAAAATTTAAAGTATATTCCAAATGAGGGTATTTAAAACCTATTAGTGATTTAAGCTATAGTACCAATCATTTCAAAGAAATCACTGAAACAATTTCTAAAGCACTTTAAAAAATGTTACTATATTATCTTAATTACAGCTGTTCTTGCTATATGATATCAGTTTGAGCCAACAGCAGCTAAGGTAATCACAATGCACTTTTCCAATGACTTGATCATTAGACTGATCACGAGACCACTTCTCTTCACTTCAATGATATTACTCAACAACTATTTTCTCTGCTTCTGAACAGCACTTCAAAATTTGTATAGCCTTTAAGTAACTTCAATGTTTTATACAGTCAGTATTTCCATTATTGACTAAGCCACACAAACTTTACTGGAATGTTAAATGGCTTACTTGATTTTTTGTTTGAATTTAAATAGCATTTTTTCCCCTTGTATTTTGTGCTGGCCTTGGGGCTTGAACTCAGGGCCTTGATGTGATCCCTGAGCCACTTTGCTTAAGGCTAGTGTTCTACTATTACTTGAATCAAAGCTCCTCTTTGACTTTTTTGATAGTTAAATTGGAGACAGAAGCTTCACAGACTTTCCTCCCTGCATATGGCTTCAAACCACAATCCTCATATATCAGCCTTCTGAGTAGCAAGGATTACAGGTCTGAGCCACAATCCTCAGGCCACTTCTTCACTTTTATAAGGGCTTTCATTTTTAATAGTTTCTTAGTTTTCTAAATTCCAGGTTTTCAATGTTTATTCAGTCCATTTTAATATCTGAAACTAAGGCATTGATAAAGTATTGATACCTCTGATGAAACTAAAGTATTGATACCTCTGATGAAATAAAGTGTACTGAAAACAAACCACTTCAAACAATGTTACTCTTTTAAATGTTCAACTATTCCTATTACATAATTTTAAATAAATTTAAAGGTTTGATATAATATTCAAATTTTTTGTAACTATCATTTAGGAGCATTTTAATTATCGCATTCTGAATTTGCAGCATTTTGCATTTTAATTATTACAATTATCCAGATCTTCAGATGAATTCTCTTTGATGTGTGCTTAATTCAGAAAAAATTTTAAGTGACTTATTTGTTTTCCATCTTTTGATTCCAACAGGAATATAGTGACTTACATAATGTCTAAATAAAATACCTAGGTATTTTTCTGAAATTTTAGTGGAAACTCTAGATTGTCTTCCATGCATTACATAGGTGGTATCTATTTTTAACTCCCCCCAAAAGGTTTCAATGAAACCATTTTGTCTCAAGCACTCAGCAGTGAAAAGTTTGATATATTTTGTATTGATTCCCCCCTCAAATCAATTATCACTGAAATCTTCCAAACTCCAACATAAAATTTCATCAATACTGATTTGACTTTACTGCCTATTTTATGTTTAGCAAAATACTACTTCATTATTATATCTTAAGTTTCAATTGTAATAATCCATATTAATGTATTTTTCGCCTTCACAAGTATTTCATGGTTGAAAATCCTCTATAGTTTTAACAACAAAGCAAATCATGTCAAAAACTCTGACGGTACACTCTAAATGCTTTTGTTCTGGTAACAGTGATAAAATTGTAATTTTTGAATTTTAAATCCTTTATTAAGTGAAACGGACTCATTTTTTCCCTCATTGAGGTTAATACATTTTCCCCTTTACTTAAGCCAAGAACTTTAAGCCAAGAACTTTCACAAAACATAACTGCTACATGATTAAATATGTAAAGATTTAGCACTTTCAAATTTTAATGATACAACTTTTGAGCACCATTCGCACCTGACAGTATGGCACTAGCAATAATAAGGCAGTCATAATTTTTTCTTGAAATAATCAAGCTGTTTTCCATTCCATAAATACAAATTATTTATTTTGCATTCATTGTTGCACAGTATCAGAAGATGTTCCAAGCTGCAGTTCATTATTAATATCATTTCTTCTTTGTTCTCCTGCAGATTCAGAAGATTCATATTTATGATGTTTAAAAGAAATGTTAAGAAATGGATTAAACTTTGTCATCTCTCCATTCTTGGTGTTCTATTTAATATTTTATTATAAAATTATTACTTTATCAATACCACAACTCTACATTATGACTAATTAAGTAAAAATTATACACAAAAATAAATTCAAAGTACTAATTACAAAAGAGCACATTAACAACAAAACCAAAGTAAAAATTTAAAGTATTTATGTGTAGTAACTGCCACATAATTTATACTCGATAATAAGCTAGAAGTTCTTTCTAAGAATAATTGAACCTATTTAAATTTATAAATTGGTAAGAAGCTCTCCAACACTGTAATAACCAAGTATTAGTTTATACTAAGTATCAGCCTTAAATATGAATAATCAAGACCAGCTTGAAATGCATTTTATGAAATAGTCCATATATGTTTTATTTTCTCCCCTGAATATCTGTATATTCATTTCTTTTCTTTATTGAGATTCTGTAATTACAAAATTTCACAGTATTGTGGCATAGTGATACTTAGCTAAAGTCACCAACACATTTTAACCTTCACAATGTTAATTGTCATTGTCTTGATCTACAAAGCCTATGAACTCTACAGACTTTTAAAAATAAAACTATTTCTTCTGAATCAGGTGATATGTAAATTTCTTTCCCTTTGCTTAGTGTCAGCGGTTTCCTCTTTCTCCCTCATTTTTTAAAAGCAAAAGATCATCAGGGACTTAGTGGCACCTGCCTATAATCCTAGCTACTCAGGAGGCTGAGATCTAAGGCTCACCATTCCAAGCCAGTCCAGACAGAAAAGTCTCTGAGATTCTTATCTCTAATTAACCAGCAAAGAGCCCAGAAGTTGAGCTGTGGCTCTAGTGGTTGGTTGCATGCTAGTCTTCAGCAAAAAGGCTTAGGGATAGGGGCTGGGAATGAGGCTCAGTGTTAGAGTGCTTGCCTAGCATGCATGAAGCCCCAGGTTCGATTCCTCAGTACAACATAAACTGAGAGGGCCAGAAGTGATGCTGTGGCTCAAATGGTTAAGAGTGTTAGCCTTGAGCAAAAGAAGCTCAGAGATAGTGCCCAGTACCAGAGTTCAAACCCTAGGACTGGTTAAAAAAAAAAAGCTTAGGGACAGTGTATAGGCTGGCCCTGAATTCAAGCCTGAGGATTGGGGGGGAGGGGAGAGAAAAAGAAAAAAATGTAAGTCATATTTGAAAACAAGCAATGTAGTTTGCAAACTTGGTCTATACTATTGCCTACTAGCCAAGATCACTAAAAAAAAAAATAGAATTCACTGCCTTTTTTCAAGATTAATTTTTAACTCAAGGTCAACAGGAAACAAATGATCTCAGAATGCTTATTTAAAAAACAGATTAAGATAACATAAACATTCTTCAAGCTATTCAAGGTTAAAGTAACATGTGACATTAGGAATTAAGATATTTTTGAGTTTTTATCTTTGCTATGAACCCAAACCTCTCATCTACACCCTTATACAGCCCTATACAGAACAAATACTTTTTAATTAGCGTTTGCTATTTTATAAAAATAAAAGTAAATAAAAATATTAATTCCCAAATCATATATAGAACATGTAATTCTTACTACTTCTAAACTGCAATTCATATAAAATGTATCCCCAAATGCTAAGCTCTAGTCTTGGGAAGCATGTGGTAGACTCTATCCTTATGGGTGGCAAAATCAGACTCAAACTACATAAGCATACTCTTAAGTTCTGATGGGCTACTAAGAAGAACGTAAGAAAATATTCTCCTTAACCTATGAAATAACCGGTAATAGACCAAGAAAAGGTCTGGTTACAAAGGAGAATCTTTTCAATAAAATTTTCCTACTAGTGTTCTCTATTTCTTATTATCGAAAATCTGTAGATCTCTCAGTAAACAACTGAATATGATGTACTAAAATATAAAACTTTTATATAAAGCCTTCAAATTTCCTTAGTAATTCTAGTTCTAAAAAGGGAAAGAAAAAGACAATAAACATTCCCCACATACCTGGTAAATCTGATGACATGCTTGATATTGGCGTGTGGTGGAATGGTACTGAGTAGTCTGTCAGGGAAGGTGGAATAGCAGCAGGATCAACCGAAGTCACACTGGGCACCCTTACAGAAGATGGCTGATACATGAGAACCCTGTTTTAAATAGCATGGGAAATTACAACAATCTGGCTGTTAGTTCACTGGAAAGAAGAGCTGAACCTCTCTGGGCATTCTTTAGATGTATATTTATTCTCAAGTAATTATATGGCCACTCACTACATAGTACTCTATACTTTATTTCACTTAAAAGTCTTCATATTAATATGAATATCTTGGTTCTCAATGGCAACTGTGATGCAAGAGCAAGCTGTCATTAATGCTCCATTATGTTGTCATCAGTGCTGGATTTCATCCATAAGTAGAAAGATACTTTATATGTGTTTATTAATAGGTTGATATTAGATAACTTATCTATACATTAAAACTTAATAGAGGACTCCTAAAATATGACACTACTCATACTAGATCAACCAGAATTTCAATTCTACTTGAAATGTAATATTTGAAATCTTACATAGGAATGATCTGAGCAAAACTCAGTATCTTAAGCTAGCCCATCTGATGGTGGTAGAAAGCAATCAAAAATCAGGGAAAGATGGCCAGTACTTAAAATATAATATCCAGAAATAAGGATATTGACTATTCTTCTAAGATGGTTATTGTCTTTGAAATTAGCTGCTCATGCTAACTAAAGACACAATTAAACACATAGTACTTTATTATATAAAATACACAATATCTAAATAAAACCTAATACTATCAAGAAGTAGTATCAAAAAGCTGAGGCTTAAATTGAAAAATGATTCTGAATACTTTCATCTAACCTTTAACTTTTTCTGCATGTTGGAAATACTCAATGGCTGACTTAGGATGATATGTACAATTCTATGATATATACAACTATAAGGTAAGTAAATGTTATTGTACATAAAAACCTTACAAAAAGTGGACCAAGAGACAGTAGATTAGTAAAGCACACACAAATGTTTGAAAGAATGTGTTCACAAGTTGTCAAGAGAACCTTGTTATTCATGGTCTAAGACTGCACTGTGAAAAAGTACCCTATATTAAACTCTGAGAAGTCTTTTCATTAAGATTATATAGCTTCTTCAATATGAATCAGAGAGTAGATGACCAAAAAACTGTATCTACTTACCCAGATTTTGCCCTGGACAGGGTAGTAATGGTAAGAGTCCATTTTTATTGAAAAATTATTATGTACCTAGCATGGAGGCTAAGGTTTTTCATGATTTCATGGAAACCTCAGGATAATCCTGAGACAAATATTATTTAACCTCATTTTACAGAATAGAAATAGGTAGTCCCAATCAAGTTAGAGTTTTCAACTGAGACTACAGAATAAGTGTACAAATGTCAGAAATAGAATCTGCTTTCATAAGATTCCTTCCTCACATTTGCTAAGATGGCAAATATCCTTACAAATAGATTCAAGATATCTAGTTCCTCAAACTCTCACTTCCCAGATATGTTGAGTATTTTCATCAAAATTTTCTTTCCTGTAAACAATGTGCTGACTTGAAAATATTTCAATGAAACTAAAATGAAAAATGCCTTCTGTAGTGACTGCAACTTCTCAAAGACATTTATAGACTCATTGCAAGAAAATCCCAAACAACTGTTTGAAAGTGTAATGAACAATAGTGAATTCAAAATTAACAAACCCTTTCGTTGGGCTGCTCTGTGTTTCTGACATAAAGATGCATTTCCTTTTGACAGGAGGGTCTTCCTCTTCATCAGAAGAGCTTTCTATTGTTAGATCAATAACATCTACTTTTTTCTTACTTGCTTCACTGGCTACAGTCACTGAACAAGGTTTACTGAGGACACTTGAACCTGGATATAAAGAAACAGGAAGAAAACAGAAACAAGGTATAACACAATAAACTCTAGCCATTGCTGTTTCAACAGTGCATTTCCAGGGGCTGGAAAGGTGGCTCAGTGGTAGAGTGCTTGCCTTGCATGCCTGAGGCCCTGGATTCGATTCCTCAGCACCACATAAGCAAAAAGAAAAAAGCTGAAAGTGGTGCTGTGGCTCAAGTGGTAGAGCGCTAGCCTTGAGCTGAAGAGCTGAGGGACAGCACCCAGGCCCAGAGTTCAGACCCCACAACTGGACCCCCCCCAAAAAAAAGAAGATAACAATGCATTTCCATAATGATACACACCTAGGAATGCCACATGATCTGTAATATAAAGACCAACTCCCTAACTCAGATGTTAATTAACTACTTATCTGCAGAGACAGAAAAATTGTTCCTCCTTGACAGAGACCAAAAGCATCCTTGAGACAATGTTTTCAATTCTCACCAATACAGTTGCTGGACATGGGCAGATCTCCTGCTGCTCACACTTTCTCTCAGATTAGCAGTAATTGTACATACAAAACTCTGGGATCATGGAACTGGTCTCCAGATACAGTATTGACAAAATTGTGGGAAAAGAGTATGTGGTGGGCTGGGAAGGTGGCTCAGTGGTAGAACGCTTGCCTTGCATGCATGAGGCCCTGGGTTCGATTCCTCAGCACCACATAAGCAGAAAAAAAAAAAAAAGGCCAGAAGTGGCACTGTGGCTCAAGTGGTAGAGCACTTACCTTGAGCTGAAGAGCTGAGGGATAGCGCCCAGGCCCAGAGTTCAGGCCCCATGACTGGACCTCCCCCCCCAAAAAAGAGTATGTGGTTTCACATGTTACATGTTCTCAGAGACATTTCCCAGTTAGCTACCCCCATGGTAGCAATTCTGCTCAAATTAAAGAATGTACAAATAAGAAACCTCATTCTATGTCAGAACTTGACATAGAATTTACCTTGAAGCCAAGCACTGATGACCCACACCTATAACCATAGCTACTTAGGAGGCTGAGATGTGAGAACTGCAGTTTAAACCTAGTCAGCTCGGGCAGATAAATCTGAGCAACTATGTCCAATAAACAAACAAAAAGATGGAAGTGACAGTACAGTTCAAGTGGTAAAAGGTAGTAGTCATGAGAGAAAAATGTAGAAAGAGAAAAAGAGGCTAGGAATTCAAGCACTAGTATTGGTAAGAAAAAAAAAAAAGGCAACTTGATAAAGTGAAAATAATCCCTAACTTGTGAATAAAGTTAATTCAGACATTTATAATTTATGAGTTATCTACTCATTATCAAAGTTCTAATTGCTCATAAAGAGAATTACATACTATATGTTAAGTCATATTTTCATAAAGACTGTATTATTCCCAGTATTATTATTTAGTGGAAAATGAAAAGTAGTTGATAATGGAAAAGCAACTGCAGTTAATCAAGTTATTTCCGATCTTTCAAAAGCCTGGCTATTGAACTCTTACATTCCAATTACAGAATAAATAAGTGCTTGTTTTTTTCTTTTCCTTTTACTCTAAAAATCTATCATTGAATTTTAGAACTTTATAGAGCTAAGACAAAATCACAGGTAGCTGGCTGCTGATGCATGCTTGTTATCCTAGCTATTCAGGAGATTGAGATCTGAGGATCTTTTGGAAACTAGCCTAGTCAAGAAAACCTTGAGAATCTTATATCCAATTAACCAGTAAAAAGCCAGAAGTTGGACTGTGACTAAAGTAGTAGAGCACCAGCCATGAATGAAAAGCTAAGGGACAATGCTCAGGCCCTAAGTTCAAGCCCAAGTATCAGCATTAAAAAAAAAAAAGTAAGCTGGGCACCGGTGGCTCATGCCTGTAATTCTAGCTACTCACGAGGCTGAGATCTGAGGATCATGGTTCAAAGCCAGCCCAGCAGAAAAGTCTCTGAGACTCTTATCTCCAATAAACCACTAGAAAACTGGAAGTGGCACTGTGGCTCAAGAGGTAAAGCGCTGACCTTGAGCTGAAGAGCACAGGGACAGCACTCAGGCCCAGAATTCAAGCCCCATGACCGATTTAAAAAAAAAAAAAGTAGTAAATAAACTGATTTGGTTAAAAAGGGACTTTCAGGTTACCTATGAATTTCAAATAATCCAACTACCTCAGTTCCTCTAGTTTATGTAAATGAGAATAGTTGACCAAATGCTGAGTGTATATACTATGTAACCAAGACAAATACACTTCCCAAAAGCAATCACCCTCTTGATAACTAATCTGTAACTATTTGCCTTCACATCCATATGAAACCAAACCTTTCTAACTGCAACTCCACTTTAAAGCTCGGGCCAGATAGGTCTCACAACAATTCTGAATGCCGATATAAATGTATTTTCTAACTTTTCATTCTATACCATAGCATGTTCAGATTATTTTAGATGACTCTCTTTTATTGTATATATGAAACAGCTATCATGAGAAGGTAAGATGAATTGTTGTATATTATAGCACATTTCTCATGAAGGAATAAAGAGAATATCGGAGGAAATTATGACATGACAGGTGACAAAAATATAAAGTGAGCAAATTCAACTCCAAAAGCAGTTCAATAAATGACAGTGTTGTATTAGTCTCACTGATTATATTCTCTATTGCCATTCTGCACATACTTTCTATTTTTGTACATGGTGGGCTAGATACTTTCATAGCTTCTTTCTTAGGTCTCATTGGACACCAAGAGCCGTCTTCTTGGAATTTGATCTCATCCACATCTGAACAATCACTGAGAATTTCCATAAAAAGCCTGTAAACCAATTAAGAAATAAAAACATGTCATCACTTGATTTATTAAAAGATAAATAACAATAGTTAGTATACATCAGGAAAAAGCAATAATGACCTTTTTTCATAAATTTCAAGATTTCATACTTTATAAAAACAAATTATACCCTCTTCCTCCTAAGAGCCTAGAATTTGTGTGTGCGAGGACTCAGGGTTTTATGCTTGCTAGTAAGCGCTCTACAACTCAGCTAAGTCCCCAGACAGGTTTTAGACCTACAAAAGGCACAACGTCAGTGACTAAAACAGAAATAGACACCTGAAGCCTCTTAGCTAGGACTGGCAGATAAGAACTCCAACATGGCACGTAAAACAAAGAGCAGACAAGGTTATTACACAATATATTTATTAGCTTTAACATCACAAATAAAGAGCAGAGGGCTGAGGGGAGGAAAGAATGCAGACAAAGAGGTTACAATAAATTTAAAGTAATACAAGGTATTTTCTATGAACAAAATAAAACTAAAATTTAAGCCAGTTTCAGAAGAATATCTAGAAAATCCCAATATTTGGAAACAAAAGATACAAAATGAAAAGGAAAATAAAACCTAGTATTTTGAACAAAACTAAACTGAAAGTACAATGAAATGTGTGAACAGCAAATTATAAAACTTCTGGATAGTTAATAGACAAACTTCTAGATAGCACTTAAGTTCACTCAAGAAAAAAAATTGTACAGTCTTATGCCTGCTAAAGACACTGGATTTGTCATTAAAAACTCTGTATGACACCAATATTATATTGATAATTCCAAATGCATTAAAAGAAAAATACTTAATCATGAACTTAGTAAAACTAAATTGGATATCAAGTAGAGTTTATCTCTAAAATGTAAAGCTAGTTTAATATTCCTAAGTCAATCAACATAATCACATTAACTGGCAATTAACTAAAGAAAGGACAAAAGAATCTTTCAAAGATTTGAAAGAAATAAAATTGTATTCAAAAACAACATTATTGTCTTTTATAGAAAATCCTAGTGATCTGCAATAAAGCTGCTAGAACTGCTGAGTTTAGGAGTTTCAAGATGTAAGAGCAATGTACGGAAATCGGCTGCATTTCTACATATGAGCAACAATTAAAAATGTCTTGAGCCAGGAGCCAGTGGCTCATACATGTAATCCAAGCTACTCAGGAGACTGATCTGAGGATTGAGGTTCAAAGCCAGCCTGGGTCTGTGAAACTCTTATCTCCAATAAACCACCAGAAAAACGGAAGTAGTGCTGTGGCTCAAGTGGTAGAGCACTCACCTTGAGCTAAAGGGCTGAAGGACAGCATTCAGGCCCAAGTTCAAACCTCTTGACCGACCAAAAAAACAAAATTATTTTCTTGAAAAACTAATACATCAATAATAGGAAATATGCAGAAACAAATGTTACAAAAGAAAGATAAGATATATTAAAAACAATAAAACATTACTAAGAAATAGATATATCCCAAGAGTCAATACTATCTTGTTACCCCAATTTTATCTACAGTCAAGGCAATACAAATAAAAATCTAATTCTGCACATTTGTATAGAAAAGCAAAAGACCTCCAAAAGACACTATCACAAGGAAGAGCTTATTCATTAGACAATATTCACACTAAGCAATCTGGGTGGTGGGTGAAGAAGGGGATAGAAGGGACTTATACTAAAAGGGGTTTACCTAGTCCATATCCTAACATTTCTTCCCTATCCCCAACTGTCCTCATATAGTCTTTGCTGTTCTTTGCCTTCATAACATTTAATAACTTAATATACCAATTTTTTTATTATATCCTACAATTTAAGGACCAGTACCTGACAAAGAACAGGCATTAATAAGTACTATTAGATGTATATTCTTTTTTTTGTGTGTGAAAATACCGTACAGAGGAGTTACAATTACATGGGCAAGATAATGAGTACATTTCTTATCAAGCATTGTTGCCTCCTCCTTTGTTTCCCCTTCCTATCCCTTCCCACCTGTGATGTATATTCTTGAAGGAATATATGACAAAACAAACTGCATAACTAAAAAATGCCATAAAATTCATATACCTGATGAAAAATAAGTGAATGTTTATAGAGAGACTCTAGAAACAGACAGAAAAGACAGAAAGACGAGACAGGGATAATAAAATCAAAATGTAAATATTCCAAAAGAAAAAAGCCACAATAAATATAATTAAAAGTCAAACAAATTGGGAAAACATTTACTATACCAGAGAAATTAACAACAGAGAAATTAATAACTCCAATATATAATAACCACTTATGAAAAAGTAGGAAAAAAAGAAACAGCAAAATATAAGCCATAAAAGATACTATACTGATCAATATACGAAATAAAGAACTGCCTAAGCCTGGCACTGTGGCACACATCATAAATACAAGCAATGGAGGGTAGAGGCAGGAGAATCATGAGTTCCAGGTCAGCCTGATCTGTATTTGAGACTGCCTCAAAACCAAACCTAACCAAACCTCCAATTCTGAAAACATAAAAAAGTAGAAATAACAATCCTGAGGTGGATGTGGTGGCACCTGTCTCTGATCTCAGCACTAAGGAGGCAGAGACTGGAGGACCAAGAGTCTGAAGTTAGCCTAAACTACATAGTGAGTTCAAGGCTAGTCTTGTCTCTGACACTATTATCCTATCCCAAAAGAGAAGGAAGGAGGAATAGATCAGACCAATGTGTTAATTTTCCCAATTAGAAAATCGACATTGAGAAGATAAGATTTTACGAGTAATTCCAGTGAACAGACTTGAGAAGTGGGTAATATACATGTTGCCAGTAGTAGAATGAAATGATTTACAAGCACAGCAAAACTGCTAATACCCAGGTGGCATCATAACAATAGAGAAATCTGAAGGACATACATTTTCTTTGTACTGGCATTTCTAACCATTTATCTTAAGGAGAACTCCACATACACACACACAAATATACCTTCAAAAATGGTACTATCACAAGACAATTTGAGAAGAAGTAATAGAGTATGGGATGTCTACCCTGAAATATGGAAGGCAAAGGGATATGAGACATATGCAATTTCGTGATTGTTCAAAAGAATTCTACCAATAGTAGAAAAATAGATATTCCATATATTTTGAGAGAATGTGAGCAAAAATTGTGGCAGATGATTAACAACTAATGCATCAGGGTCAAAGTTATACTGGAAAAGCTTTGTGATATTGTTGCAACTTAATTTTAAGTTTAAAATTACCTCAAAATAAGCTAAAAAATGACAAAAATAACATAGCAAAAGTTTAGGAAAGTCAAAGTTCCATTTACTCATTATTGTCCTGTTTGTTCTTTCCACAGTACATTATTCTTCAAAAACCTTTCTTTTGGAGGAAGATGGGGTTTGAACTTAGGGCCTTGAGTTTGCCAAACAGTACTTAAGCCTGTCCCAGCCCTTTTTGTATTCATTCTCTTTCAGATGTGGTCTCTCATTTATGTTTGGGTCACCCTGGGCCTTGACTCTCCTATTTTACACTTCCTGGTAGGAGCTGGAAGGAGAGCTGGAAGGAGAAGCACAGATCAACCTGCCCAACTTGTACCCAATCAAACCTTGGAGACAGCTGTGACAGATGAAAGAAGGCAAGTAACAGCTGATGGAAGGTATGACATGAGTAAGATGTATTATACACATAAATGGACATGTTAAATTGAAACCACTGTATAACTACTGAAATAAAAAGTAAAAACTGCTATGTATCTTTAAAGACCTACACTGCTTTTCTTTTTTTCTTTTTTTTCTTTTTTTTTTAGATTTTTTTTATTGTAAAGATACTATACAGAGGGTTACAGATACATGAGTGAGGTAATGAATACACTTCCTCTTGAACATTGTTAGCCCCTCCATTGTTTTCCCCCTACCATCCCCTCCCTCCCTCCCTTCCCTGAAGTT